AAAAGTCATTTTGCCTCCTGAGTAGGGATTCTTGGTGCCTGATGTGTATCCCAAGGTAAATATACTCCAGCTTTATTTGTGGGTCTACCCCTTATGACTGTGTGGGGCATGTGTAGGAAGGTACACATGTGTAGGGTAGGAAGGCTCTGCAGAGGGACCTGGACAGGCTGGATCGATGGGCAGAGGCCAACTGTATGAGATTCAACAAGGCCAAGTGCCGGGTCCTGCACTTCGGCCACAACAACCCCATGCAGCGCTACAGGCTTGGGGAAGAGTGGCTGGAAAGCTGCCTGGCAGAAAAGGACCTGGGGGTGTTGGTCGACAGCCGGCTGAACATGAGCCGGCAGTGTGCCCAGGCGGCCAAGAAGGCCAACGGCATCCTGGCCTGTATCAGCAATAGTGTGGCCAGCAGGAGCAGGGAAGTGATCGTGCCCCTGTACTCGGCACTGGTGAGGCCACACCTCGAATACTGTGTTCAGTTTTGGGCCCCTCACTACAAGAAGGACGTTGAGGTGCTGGAGCGTGTCCAGAGAAGGGCAACGAGGCTGGTGAGGGGTCTGGAGAACAAGTCTTATGAGGAGCGGCTGAGGGAGCTGGGGTTGTTTAGCCTGGAGAAAAGGAGGCTGAGGGGAGACCTCATGGCTCTCTACAACTACCTGAAAGGAGGTTGTAGCGAGGTGGGTGTTGGTCTCTTCTCCCAAGTAACTGGCGAAAGGATGAGAGGAAATGGCCTCAAGTTGCGCCAGGGGAGGTTTAGATTGGATGTGAGGAAAAATGTCTTTACTGAAAGAGTGGTTAAACATTGGAACAGGCTGCCCAGGGAAGTGGTGGAGTCACCATCCCTGGAAGTATTGAAAAGACGGGTAGATGAGGCGCTTAGGGACATGGTTTAGAGGGCATGGTGGTGTTGGGTTGACGGTTGGACTCGATGATCTTGGAGGTCTCTTCCAACCTTAATGATTCTATGATTCTATGATTCTATGTGCAATGATTGCTGCCAGTTAACTGTATCTAATTGTAAGTTTCTCACTTAGATAGCAATATCTCAATCTCAGGAAAGCAATAATGTATGGGCAGTGGATGGTGAACCTGTACAACGGACACAGGCTCACATCTTTGTTGGCAAGGATCACGCAAAACACCACAAGGAAAATCCTGCTGTTGATAGCCAGTCTTACAGAGAGCTCCACATCACTGTCGGTAGGGAAGACACTTGGACCACAGTTCAGAAAAGAAGGATTATGGCCCCAGCTTTGCTGCCACCCTCCCATGTAATATTGAACCAAACAAAGTTTAGCTAGACCTCTGTTCCTAAGCTGTAAAATGGTGATTATACTTTTGGATGTGAGGTATGGTGTGAAGATAAAAATCTATTAATAACTCGGTGTCATACTCTACTGAGGAGCTATACAAATCTCAAAGGGAAGTACTTCAGTTGCAGTGTTGAGGTTCCTCAGCTCACGTATATTCCTGTGGCAGGCGGGCTGCCCTGGACCTTCAGTGGGGTGAGTCTCTGAAAACTGAGACCTGCAAAAAAACGAGAAAGCTGGTAGAAAGGGGCAGCTCAAAAGTGCAAAAGGTTGGTAGATAACATGGGGTCATGCAACGCTTGCTGCTAACATGCAGGTAATACGGCAATCCTTTAGAGGGGAACATATACCACCAGGGACTGTACAGAGAGAACAAAACACAAATCTGAGCTAAACAGTAATGCTCTTCAAAATTTTTAAAAAGATGAAACTTTCAATTGGACAGTCATTGCCAAGCAAGGAAAAAAAACCCAAACCCAGAGATCCTGGCATGTTTAATAACAAAACCCATAATAAAACATATGAGAAAAAGATTTAGAGGAGCAACAGAGAGTGAGCATAAAAAACTACTAATAGAAATTTTCAAACGTATCTGAAGTAGGAACTCAGTGGGGGTAAGGAAGCCAATAACTAACTGATGTAAATGTAAGAAGGACAACAAAGGCAGGGCAGGGTTGAAAGGCTGAATGGATTATTGGTGCTGGTGTTCCCTTCAGATATGGTCAGGGAGGTCCTCACACAGCAGCACTCTCTGCAGTCTAAAGAATGTTGTCAAACAAAATTGCCAACAGAGGAAGTTTTAGGAAAAGAAAAGATAAATAATCTGTGGCAAATGACCATCCCAGATGGCATTCACACTGAGTTACAGGAAAGTAAACATGACTTGTTTTTTTAACTTCTAAGGAGTATGTAAACTATTACCTAAAGCAGCCTCAGCACCAAAAGACTGTGTTATGGCAATTATGTCCATCTTAAGAGGAATCCCTGCACAGCCTGGGGAAACACAGGTCACTCGGTTTGATTTCGGCATCAGGCAAGTCAGTAGAAACAAAGAACAGAATTTGCAGACACACAGAAAAATACGAGAAAAGTCAATACAGCTTTTGTAGTGGGAATGCCTGACATCTGTGATGGCATCAATGAGCCCATAAATGTGGTGAACTGATCTAGACCTTGTGCTTGTGTGTGCAACAGGCTTTTGGTAAGATTCTTCCACCAAGGCCCTTAAGAAACTCGATACTCATGGAGTAAGAGATTTCACCCACAGGCTGGAACAAAGAGGTGGAATAAGTTGACAGCGATCACAGCAAAGTGAAGGTATCAGCAGGTGCCAACAAACATCAGTGCTGTTCGACACATTTATCTTGGGAAAAGGGGTGAATAACGAAGTAATAAAGTTTGCTGATGGCAGAAAACTATGCAGAATAATCAAAACTGAAGTTGACTGTGCAGAGCTGTAGAAGGAGCTCATGATACTGATTGAGCAACAAAATGGTTTCTGAACTTCAGGGTTGAAAAATACAATGTAGTGTACATGGGAAAAACAATTTTAACCATAAATACCCAGCGATACTCTCTTAAATAGCTGATACATTTTAGGAAGGAGGCACTGGCATCCTTGCTGTCTTGAGTCAGCTCTTTACTTGTCTGATTCTTACCCTCTTCTCCTATTAGCAAATGCTAATGGCCAGTGCTGGAGAGAGGATACTGGGATCAACAGATACTTTATCTGACCCAACACAGTTCTCATGTTCCCGTTATGTTTTTGTGTGGCTCTCAGATCATTACTTTGGAAATTTTCTGCCAGTTAAGATGAAGCAAAGAGGTGAGAATCCTGGATTCCAGGTCCTAGAAAAAAACATGGTGGGGGGATTGTATTCATCCCTTTGGATATTCTGAAGAGTATGGGAGATTATATATGAGACATTTCTACTGCCTTTGGAAGCTGGCAGAAACTTAAGCCCAAGGTGCATTAAACATCTTCCCTCCATCGAGCCCTCAATAAGGGGTAAAGAGGACAGGACTCATGAGCTGTCTACAGTTCCCGCAGAAATTTAATTTCCATTTAGGCACATGGGCTTGGCAGGAATTGCCTGGATCGGTGGCTGTCACAGGTCCACGAAACTCAACATCCCAGCGTCGACACATCCATCCTCATCTCAGAGCTGTCACAGGAGTTGTACCGTGGTTTATGGCTGCCTCTCCCCACACATTCAGACTAGGCAGAAAGCCCCGAGCTATTTCTGATTGAACAACTTCCAGGCACTGTTAATCTAGCAGACCCCTAGAATTTCCTGAGATAAAACAAAAGGGTTCTTTTAAGCTATTGTTCATACCCTTGGTATTGTGTATCAGCTTCTGTTTACACTGTTAGTTTTTTCAGGTACTGAGCCAAATACTTGCTGCCAGGGAAAAGTATTTTTCTTTGCTTTGGAAGGGAAAACTCTGCAGAAATAGTTGTTTAGATAAACATCAGTTTTCTTGTCTAACATCACTTTTCAGTCTCCTCTTACTCTTTATGCTGAATACTGTATGCTGATAGGGCGTTTATAACTCTGACTCCTGGGGAAAAGAGGAAAAAAAGTCACCGTAAAAGTGGGGACTTACCATGTCTTAATTGTAATTAAAACTAAAAGATTTCTCAGAATGTGCAGAAACTTGAAACTTTTATTTCTATCCCTCTGTCTTAGGCATAAAATACACAGCAGAAGGTACACCCACATCAGTGACAGATGGTTTAGCGTTTAACGTTTTGCTCAGGATGTTCACAGGCCACACCTGATGATTTTGTACTGAAAATGGGGGCGACTGTCCAGCTAACAGGATGATATCCATTCTAAGTCATCAGAGATGTTTGGACCCGTTGCTATTAAAAGCAACAAGCAATTACAGAAATTGCTTCAAATTGTGTGTCTGTTGTGGGGCAGCTGTAACATCTCTCTCTTACAAAGGGATCCTTAAAAACGGTACCTTCATGCCTGGGGAGCACAGACCAATGTCAGGTGTGCCAAATCCAAGTTTATTTCAGTACTTACATGAGCTATGTCAGCCAAGTACTTCCAGACTTGTGATGGGGTATGGTTTTATCCCAGCGTTGCTGTAGTATCACCAGAAGCCACTTAATGGAAACAGTAACCCAAGGTGGCCTAATGGTCCCAGATGAATAGCATCTGGGAAATTCAGGGGTTTCAACTGCTTTTTTCATACAAAAGATTTGATCCGTGTAG